TTTTCCACAAGTTGATATGATTCTTTAGGGTCTTAATGAAAAGTCTGTAACATAGTTTGGTTAAAATTTCTCAATGGTAGTGTAAAACAACACCGTTTTTACCCTGTCAGAAACAGCTCTTTTCAGAGCAAGCCGTTTTAGTGCATGTTCCTTTAAATGCTAATGAGCTCTGCTGACCCCGCCCCTCTCTTCTGAGCCGCTCTCTGAGAAACTGTAAACTTTAGCTGTATTTATCGTGAAACTTGCTAACTAGCACATTATCAGGAAAGGCGATTTGCAAAGATTCATAAAAAACCTACCATACTCACTTCTTCTGTAGGTGAAGCTGGATCACGAATGATTCGCGTGAACATAAACGCATTTAGGCAGATCGGGATCTGCGCATTCCCTTCAGAAACACTGTAATCCACTGCGTCTTCAGCGGCTCAGATGTCGGGAGTAAATGACGACTGCTATGTTCATTATTACATCCAACAACAAAACACCTCAGTCGCTTAGGAGTCATTCTTGTCTACATCTGCTCCGGCGGTGAAACAATGGCGGACTGATGACAGCTCACTCAGGGCGGGGCTAAGTTAAGACGCCAGTCCAGTCTGTGCTGAAACGCTACTGTCAATCAAACTATCGTGGGAGGGGCCTGTCAGTGTGACGGCATCTGAGATCGGCTCGATTTGAGAAAGGAGAAATGATTTAACGAGATTTTTAAAAAAGCACAGGGTGGATTTTTATCATTATAGGGGTACACACACTGCCAACACACATTTATGTTCAAACAACTTGTAAAAGTGCATGTAGCATCCGATGACCCCTTTAAATAAAAAGAGAAAATAAATAGATAACATAGAATTAGAATAGAGAGGGCTAGAATTAGAGGGTCAAATAGAGATGCTTCTTTTCCAAATAAACACTTTCTTGAGTGTTTCGTCCCTAAGATTGTTGTAACCCGCTCTTTCCGCAGGTAACCCTGGTTTAACCCCGTGCCAACACTGAAACCGGCTTTGCCATCAGGAGAGCAGCATCTGCAAACGACTAAACCTGCTCAGTTACAGGTACAGCACTAGTCAAGAAGTAGTTAGCTAACCAACCGGCAGAGGACGACGAGTGACCCGAAGATTCCCGACACCAGGAATATTAGACAGGCTTCACCTAACAGCTCCGCATCTAGGACATCTCCAGGACTCAGGACTGATCAGGATTATGCTGGCGACTGTTACGAGCAACGTTTTGCTGTTGTTGAATCCAAACGTCAAGAGACTCGAGACGGCCGCATAGTTTCACTTTTTGAACTCTTTCTATGTTTGTCTGTTGTTTTTTTTCTCTTAAATGACCTGAAATGTGCATGTTTACCAGTGTTTAGTGCACTGCGAAAAAACATTTTAATGAGTATTTTTGTCTTGTTTACTTGTAAACTATTCAATATTTTTTTAATATTTTAAAATCTATATTTTTTAGATATTTTAATAAATCACAAAATTAGTATAATTGTTTAAAATATTTACATTATATTTATACATTTATACTTATTTGGTGATTTGTTGAAAAATTATATGAATATAAATATATACATGTAAATAAATGTAAATATTTTCAAAATATATACTCTGTGTGCTTTTATATATACTGTACATAATAAATATATACAGTACACACACATATTATGTAAACACAATTTTTATTTTGGATGCGATTAATCACGATTAATCATTTGACAGCACTACTTAAATGCAGCCTTGATGAGCATAAGAAACTTAAAAAAAAACTTTAAAAATCCCACTGATACCATACAGGAATACATTTGAGAAAAGGAGAAATTCTCTGAAAACATATCTTAATATCTCACGCAACACGAAAACAAGACAAAATACTGATTATGAAACACTTGCATTACTGGCATGCAGAACATGATGTAGGAAATCGATATTTAATACTGTGATCGTTTAGGTTTGCTGTAAATGAGACATCTAACTTTAAGAATAAGTATGAATGCAAGCAGTCATTATGGTTCTTTTGACACAATCTGCATTATAAAAAGCCCTAGGCTATTTAAATAATGGTGACTTGACTTAATTGTACATTTCTTACTCTAAAAAAAAGTTTTAAAACCGTATTTATTGTTCAAAAAGTTTCAGTCTCTGTTGGATGGATGTTTTTCATTTTTTTCATTTTTCAGTTTTGAATGAACCCTTCTCTTTTACTGAAGGGTATCTGTCTTTAACCGCTTTGGGGCGACAAAACTTTAAGTTTCAAGAATTCATGGCTCGGAGTTTTCTTTTTGTCTGCTTTATTTTCAGTTGCGTGACCACAACATTATATAAAGCAGATACGTAATATAGACAAGTTAACAATGATAAAATAATCATTTTAATAATTATAAAACAAGAAAATAAATACATTTGTATTGCTTTGGAATGATAGTTTTAAGGCCTATGCAAAAACTTCTCATTGCATGGATGTAAAACATACTTAAAGTAATATTTCTTGATACCTAAGAACACATCACTCTCAAATGATGATTTTCACATTTGGGTGGTCAGTTCTTTCTCAAACTTGATTTATGTGCACTGTTATATCAAACATATTCCTCTATAAACTCTGTAAATGATATTCTTTGTGCTGGAGAAATTGCAGGTATCGTCCTTTTTTTTTTTTGTTTAATGTCAAAGGTTGGTTTGAGAGTTTCACCTAAGAATGAAGTAAAACAGAAGACTGAAAATATAAAACTACAATTTAAATAAATTCTAGAACCCTCCGATCTAAAATAACATCTCAGTGCTCATAATAAACCAATTATCAGGTCTAAAGTATAGCTACCGTGATGGTTTACCTTGAGGTTTACCATTTTAAGTGGTAATCTTGTTCATCCACTTTCTTGACCCGCGGTTACACCAATGACACACACCTGGTTCCTCGAGGCCTAAAACTGACATTTGAGGTGAGCAATTCCTGGAATGTTGCATCTGAGGGTCACGGTGAGCGACATTTGACCTTACATGCTCATTCTGATGCACTGAAATTACTCAATAATTCTGCCTTTGTGTTCCACAGAAGAGAGTCATATGGGTTTGGATCCACATGAGGGCGAGTAAATGAAGACAGATTGATGTTAACATAGAGGCCTGTCAGATTAAAATCTGCTCTGTATTCTGGATGTGTTTAGAACAGTGACATAAGACTCTGAAAAGGGCTTCATTTGTGTCTGTTATTCTCATACAGAGGATCTGTTAAACACCACAGCCAAGAGCGTTCCAGTAAAACCGACTTTTATGGGTGTTTAGCGGTCCAAGCCGAGTGACTCAAAGGACATCAGGGGCGAAAAATAACACGGCAGTGAATTTGTGGTCTATGAGAACACAGCAATTCTCACTCAAGATGTTTTAAAACAAGCCACTGACTTCATTAAACCATCTTAACCAGCCAAACACACAATATACAGGTTGCACATGTTTACTTAAAATGAGACCTACTCATTCTAGAGAGTATTTGATTGGACAAACATTGGGATGCAACAATATGTTTAGGGAAAAAAATCATGAATATTTTAGTCTGTTTTCTACCGGGCCCCTAAAGAGACATAATGATGGTTAAATAAATAAATAAAAATTGTAAAAACCTGCAGGAGAATGCATATTTATTCAGGTGAATGCAATGCTTTCGCAAGAGAATGCAAGTTTTTTGGGGGGAACACAATAGTTTTATGAGAAAACGCAATCGTTTTGCGAGGAAACACAAAAGTTTTGTGGGCAAATGCAAAGTTTCTTGGGGGAATGCAAATGTTTTACAAGTGAGCGCAATCGATTTTTGAGAAAAGGCAAATGTTTTGCAAACGAAAGCAACGTTTCTCTGGGGAACGCAACTGTTTTGAGAGAGAATAGCAAGTTTCTGGGGAATACCGAAGTTTTACAAGCAAATGCAAAGTTTCATGCCGGAATGCAATATTTTTGCGAGTGATCGCAAAGTTTCTCAGGGAACGCAAATGTTTTACAAGTGAATGCAATCGATTTGCGAGGGAACACCAAGTTTCTCTGGGGAATGCAATACTTTTGCAAGAGAACGCAAAGTTTCTCTGGGGCACGCAACACTTTTACGAGAGAATGCAATACTTTTGCGAGTGAACGCAGAGTTTCTTGGGGCAATGCAACACATTTACGAGAAAGGAATGTAAAGGAATGCAAATGCAAGGACTGCAAATGTTTTGCGAACAAAACATTTGTTCGCAAAACAAGTTGTTTTGTGGGTGAATACAGAGTTTCTCGGGGAACTCAAATGTTTTGCAAGAGAATGGCATGTTCCTCTAGGGAACGCAAGCACTTTACCAAAAAAAAATACAAGTTTTGCATGAGAATGACTAAGTCTGTTAAGGGGAAAAAGTCCCTTCTCCATGGCTGAATATATATAACGCTCCTGACAGTCGTGATCTCCAGAGTGCTCATACTTTTAGCACGTTGCCCAAAGGCCTCCATGACTCCAGCCCGGCATGAAGCTCAAAGCTCTCACAATCATTAAGACACGGTCACCTTGTCACCATCTGTCCTCTCAGTCGGAATGGATACGGCAAATCCTGGAACGACCCTGTCAGGAAGCCGGACACATGTGGATTCCAGAATAGAACATTGTAGAATGTGGATTCCAGGATAGAACATTCTTAAAGGGGCAGTTCACCAAAAATGAAAGTTCTGTCATCATTTACTCACCCATTCAAACCCAACAGACTCAGATTTACAGTAAGTTGTTATTCTTTGATCATTTCCATTTGTCAGTGCTGTCAAATCTACTTTTATGATATTTTATGGTGCTTTTTTATGAAGCTTAGCAGTAAAAATTAACATCCACTTTGAATGGAAATCGGAAGTTTCTTATTAACATCCCCTTTTGTGTTTCATCGAAGAAGGACAGTCAAACAGGTTTGAAAACAACATGAGGGTGAACAGATTTAAACTGGTTTCTTACACTGCCTGTCTGTTGGCCGTGTGATCCAGTTGACCCTGCAGGAGCTGCTCACCTCTGGATTGGAGTAAATCTCCTCCACCTTTCTGTTGAAGTGCAGCTCTAAGACAAACACTGTGTTTATTTTCCTAAGGTGGATCCAGAGAAAATATGCCTTGAGTGTTCTTGCACAAAACACAGAGCTCAGATTCTCTCTGGAATGATATTTCAGAAGCACCTCAGCAGCTCTGGAGCTTTTAATAAAACAAATATTTAACAACGCTGTGAGTTTGTGACAAGAGAAGCTAATATATAAAAGCCAGAACTTCAGGTCTAAGTTTGTTCAGTCTGCACACTTGTATGGCCTGATTCACGGACGTTTGCTAATCTGTTCCACAATAAGACTTTTATTTTGACAGGTTAGAATAGAATGTTGCGGGTGGTTGCTAGGATTGCTATATGGTTGCTAAGATGTTCTGAGTGTTTTTTAGTCTGTTGCTATGCAGTTTGTTGTGCGTAGTTGCTAGGGCATTGCTATGTGGATGCTAAGATGTTCTGAGTTTTTTAGACTGTTGCTATGCAGTTTGTTGTGGGTGGTTGCTAGGGCATTGCTATATGGTTGCTAAGTGTTCTGAGTGTTTTAGTCTGTTGCTAAGCAGTTTGTTGTGCGTAGTTTCTAGGGCTTTGCTATGTGGATGCTAAGATGTTCTGAGTGTTTTTTAGTCTTTTGCTATGCAGTTTGTTGTGGGTGGTTGCTAGGGCATTGCTATATGGTTGCTAAGTGTTCTGAGTGTTTTAGTCTGTTGCTAAGCAGTTTGTTGTGCGTAGTTGCTAGGGCTTTGCTATGTGGATGCTAAAATGTTCTGAGTGTATTTTAGTCTTGCTATGCAGTTTGTTGTGGGTGGTTGCTAGGGCATTGCTATATGGTTGTTAAGATGTTCTGGGTGTTTTTTTTTTAGTCTGTTGCTATGCAGTTTGTTGTAAGTGGTTGCTAGGGTATTGCTATATGGTTGCTAAGTGTTCCGAGTGTTTTAGTCTGTTGCTATGCAGTTTGTTGTGGGTGGTTGCTAGGGCATTGCTATATGGTTGTTAAGATGTTCTGGGTGTTTTTTTTTTAGTCTGTTGCTATGCAGTTTGTTGTGGGTGGTTGCTAGGGCATTGCTATATGGTTGCCAGGTGTTTTTTTTAGTCTTTTGCAATATGCTAGGATTTGCTATATGGCAAAATTATTCATTTATTTATTTTTTACTATGTAACACCACTAAACTAAAACTTTTTTTTTACTTGATCTGTCTTGATCATGAAGTCTAGACTATTAATTTGGCTTTTTAATAAGTTACTCGCCGTGTTTTCCTGTATAACCCGTGAAATGAAAATGTCGTTCTCTGAGGAAACACTGGTTTTATTGCAGATCCTTTAGGCTTAAAATAGA